GATGGACCCCCCAGCATTGCAATAAAAACTTTGTTAATAAAAAAAACACCCCAGCATTGCGTGTGGCGCCCTCCCTCTCTTGGGGTGCAGTACTACGATGTCGCTGGGGTCACTCAACCCCCAGAACTCAACCCCAACAACACATAACCTCAAATAGCAACAACAAACATTGAAGAATGTTATAAATAATGTATCCCGCAAATCATAAAACAGTTTTCGTGTTGGATCACACTCCGTACTTTGGAATCTCCACAGAAAGTCCATTGGAGTTCGAGTGTTTGAAGGGTAGAGGACAAAATCAAATTCCTTTAGCACCAATTTGTAAATCATTATGGACAACGAGTGTGGAGTCATCGATGGAGTATTGTCGAATTGTCTGGGATTTATTTCCATCGGGGAAATTGGTGTGCATAAATCCACTGTACAGTAACGCAGTAATTGAAAATAATATTCATTCAATTTTATTATGATTTATCTAGGTCAGATTTGTTGTGAGCGACCATGCAGCCCACATTTTGAACACTTGGAGTCCCCTGCAGCAAAATTTATCCCACGTAAATAATTTTTCCTACCTCGAAGACGAAATTTCAATAACTCGAAATATAATTAATGATTATCTGTTGCAGATAATGAATGGAATGGCGATTATTGGAGTTCCTCCAAGAGGTCATCAACCAGGAGTTGATTTCTCGGTGATCCATGGTCTCAGAGTTGCTATCGAAGCGCTTACAGAATGCTCTGAAATTCAACACAGTAAAAAATCGGAGAATCCCACAAAATTTAAGAACAGAGGTCGAGTTATTTGTATCACCAGTGCCAGGGACAACATAAATATGAAGAGTTTGGAAAATATTTTTCTCAATCAATTGACGCAGCAGAACAAGATAGCTGCTGGATCAGATACGTAAGAGAGCGTTACCAATTGCATATATATGAATATTTAAATATGTACCCGTTACCGAACGTCAATGCACGTTCTCTGTTTTTTCCAGATCAATACCGATTAATCACTGTCACCTCGTCATCTTAAACATCTTTCCAGTGAACATAGAATCTCAAGTTACTAGCCAAAGTCCAAGAGAAGTACGTAATTCAATTTATCAATTGGTTTATCGTCGTTCCAATATAACATCTCAAGTCTTAAATATTAAAGTCCTTCTTTCATCTGTTGCATTGTTTAAATCTCAATATTTTATAATTAACAATAACAGGTTTCTCCATTACTCACCATGGAAGTGCATTCAATGAAAGCAACAGCCCTCCATTCCAAGCTGTCCCATCTAATATTATCTCACTACGACCTGGCAAGCACCACAGTCACCGGAATACCCATGAAAGAGGAACAGAATGCAAGTTCATCAGCTAATTATGATGTGGAAATATTTCATTCCCTCAGCGCTCATACGTCAATTTTAAATGGTACATGACAGGTTAAACGACTTTCTTCGTGAATCAACCTCATTTGATCAATGGTTTTAATAATTCAGGCAATCCCCAGGACTCAGCCCTCATAAAAACATTCAGAAGATTCGAGGAGGGCTCTGAATATGAAACTGTGACATTGAAGTGGTGCACACCAAGGGGCTGCAGTGCCTCGGAGATGCAAAATTGTACAGCGATGCACAGGATAACCCCTGTGGACGTAAATAGTCGGCCATCCTCGTGTCTCATCAATTTTCTACTCAATGGACGTTCCGTTATGCTCGAGATGGCACGAAAAAGTGGCGGAAAAACGATATCCCATTTGTTAGCTGCTCATGGAGGTGAAATATTCATTCATACGTTATCAACAGCGCGAAGTGTCTTGGAGGACCCCCCATCAATCAGTGAGGGATGTGGTGGGAGGGTCACTGATTATAGAATAACGGTGAGGGATGTTCTCTGAGGAACAACTGCTAAATACTTTTTATCAATTTTTTTATATAATTTTCAGCTCAATTTTTATTCAAGTAAAAATACTCCTTCCGAAAATAAATGTCTCAATTTTTTTTGTGCATCATAAAAAACTTGTCAATGCAGTAATATTCACTTTTTTCGAATAATTTATCAGGATTTTGGAGCCCTCATGAAGAGCAATATTTTGGTGCCACTTAAACGCTGCTCCAATGGAGAAGGGGATGGTACGTCAACACAAATGAGAGCAAGACTTGAGAAACACACGAGATACTGGCCGATGACGATTTCAAACACGCTGATATTTAATTTGAAGCAGGTTATAACTGTTTGAAATGCAAATTAATTATTTTTTCAATACACGTAATTAGGGGACGAAATTATTAATAGCAGCTTCGAATCTTTCAGATAATTGACCCATTGCCAGAAATAATGGTAAAAGAGGAGCTATCTAAAGACGAACTGGTTAAATGCAAACAATTGATCTTCAGTTTGCTCCAGCTCGAATCAAAACACGAGACCCTGTCATTACCGAATCTTGGTGGTGGCAGGGGAGGCAAGAGTGGGGTCCGAAGGGATGAGCATTATCGTTTATTGTGGGAGGAATTGGAGAAGCTTTTGAAGGCCCACGCTAGTACTTCTGCAATGCATGCTGAAGTGTTGAATTGTCTACTAGAGGTGCGCAATAAGGACGACAAGGACAAGGTTGAATTGGATCAAGCATTGAGAGAATTAGATAGGTAATGGAAATCAACACAAAAAACAAAAATTATTCTGGTTATTTACATTGAAATGCATTGAATAATTAGTAGCAATAAAATCAATCACTCAAAATGGAATTGAAAATTTTTCGTTTTCCCTTTCAGCCTTGGAAAAGAAGAGCCAACACGTGCCAGTGTAATTCGCGCAACGACAGACTCCCCAATGTCTCCACCTCCGATAACACCAACACCTCTAGCAAAACAACTACAAAAAAGTGGCACTCCAAAAAGCCTCCTGGACATTTGGCTCCAGCGTAGTGCCCCGAAAGAGAGACGACCTGAATTTCACGGACGTATCAACAGTGACGGATCAAAAGCCAAACTTTATCCCAATCTCAAAGATGCCAATTGGGAACACCGGGAAGCTATGCTGGAGGCATAAATCTCATCAATACACGCGAAGAGGCTCGGTATGTAAATATGTCACGTAAAAAATTGTCCACTCCATAATAAATTATGTACATAAATATCGCAAAGAAAAAACATCTCCGAATAAAAATGATGAATAAATATTTCTACAAGGAAAAAGAAAAATCTTTAAAAAATAAGTGAAACCCAGTGAAAAAGAGATACCGACAACTCCCATCTCTCAAACCCAATAAATCCTCATACACAAATATTTTTCACCGCCAATTCCCCCACCCACCAATCAATCGCAAAATAAAACGTCATAAACCCAGTGCAACGAACTATAATGTCCTTCTACCTACACGTATTCATTGCTCGCGTCTAGCCGACGTCTCGTTCAACGATACATTGACCCCCAATTGAAAACTACACGGACAGTTATTCCCCAGTATATCACATGTTAAACTGTTCCGCGATGGTGGTGGGGGGTTGAGACGATGATGAAAAAAGAGAGATGGCAATGTATACAAATACAAATTACACACAATGCTCCTTGCGACTGGGGAATGAGATGTGACGTCGGTTTACGTCTCAGCTATATATAAATCCAACGGTTGTATTTGTAGTAAAAAAAGTGGGGATAGTGGGAGGTAGAATTGGGCGAGTGGATGAAGGAGGTGGTGGAAAAGGACAAAGTGGAAAACGATAGAGTCGAGAGGTGGTGGAGAAATGAGGGACACACGGAGAGTGCAAGTGCGTGACGTAACGGTTCATTCATCCCGGGACAGACGATATCCCGGTCAATGGTAGGTATGTATTCACTTTGTAGTTTCCCCCACACACATACATTTATTCCCTCCCCCTTTCCTCCCATTTCCTCCCCTTTCCTCCCCTTTCCTCCCCCGCGATTCAATCCACCCCATTCCCTCCTTCCCGTTGCTATCCTTCGAAACCACCAATGCGTATATATGTGTATCAACACTTTGACTTTACATAACACCGTCTCACCGCATTTTGTGCAAATGTATTGGTCGCAAATGTATACTGATCCCTTAAATTTTTTTTTTTTTACTCAGTGTACCCCTTTTTCTCCTTCTTCTTTTTATCGGTGGGTTTCTCTTTCTCTTAGTAGTATGTTGTCGCTTTTGATAGCTGTCATTATCACGTGGGGACGATACACATGTTACAACTGTGACGATGGGTATTACGTCACGATGAAACGTACGGATATTTTCCGCTGTTCCGTGTTTTTCAATTCTGCCCGTTTATTTTTACACGGATGCATATAGTTTACTCATTCTGAAGCGAAATGCGAAATGCTGGTGAGAAATTTAATGGACGTGTCGAATTTTTTGAGAGTGTTATCCCAGGGTTAAAATTACGGTACGAGAGCAATTTTTTGGTAGAAAATATTGAGGGCTGTTTTTGCTTGAATTTATCTGCATTTTAATAACATTTTTGATGGAGGATACTTCGGTGGATGAATAAATAACATGATGCTGACCTGCAGGTGTATGAGCGTCGAAATCGGTGGATGAGTTGGCAGCTATTTTCGATGCACCTGTTATAAACCGGGCAAGAGCTTCAGCTGCTTGCAGTCCCATCGACCTACCCCTATTACGAATTCCCAAGTGAAATTATATTCCATGAATTTTTGGGATCTCCCCGTCCATCGGAGATCTACACCCAAGATATAAAACTCAATAACTGCATATAAAAGTGGATTTTAAAAATACCGGAAAATGGGGAATAGGCGATGGACAAGAGAGACGTGTAGGTCCGGTGGGCATCGATAATGCATGTGTTATTGATCGGCCACTGGTAGTTGGTACCGCGGGAAAATAACGATCCAAATGGCGAGGCTCGCCCTACAACTCGTCTCTATAATTCACCATCAATTTTTTTTACCCTCAAGGTAGACCTCCGGTTTTCTGCATTTAAATAATTCCAATCAACCATCTACATTTTCTCCTTTCAGTTGAAAAAACTCTAACAAAGCTGATGGGAATTGAAACAAAATGCAGTAGCAAAGCAGAGATAGAATAAAAATAATGCCCCAGCGGGACTTAGTTTGCAGGTCAGTTGAAAAGGTATGGAACACCATTGGCATCGACGATGAGCCCAGGCAACCCTCGTCACATCGTCAGGGGGCTATATACCAAGGGGCTTTCTACACTATATACACACGAGAGAACGATGGAAGCACGGTAGGCAGCTGCTGCCTTGGTAACCCAAGTGGAGAAGCTTGTCCCTCGGTATGTAGCCCCTAAGGGTCTTCTCCTGCCAGTGTACTCATCAACAATGACAAAGGGAGAAAGACAGGCCCTCGGAGCTCTCCCTCTTGACCCTCCAAGGGACACTATCCCATCGTCTTCAAACTGCTAAAAAATTTCTGAAAAAGAAAATGAAAAAAGAAAATGAAAAATAAAATGAAAAAGAAAAGGAAAAAGAAAATGAAAAAGAAAATGAAAAAGAAAATGAAAAAGAAAATGAAAAAGAAAATGAAAAAGAAAATGAAAAAGAAAACAAACACCGAGAACCACCGTAATATCACCCAGTCATCCAAGTCTTGATAGAGAGGCCATGGAAAATTAAATTATTCAATATTTCAGATAAAAATTAATGATAAATTGCGAGAGTAATGGGTATCGACGTGGACACGGGATACGCAATGCACTTTCAGTAGGTCAGACACGGAAAGAGAGATGAAGGGCACTGGGGTGTCGACGCCCCCGCCCAGTTGATGGTGAAGTCACACGAGCTACGTCACTCACTGTGCTTACAGATACCAACAAACACACAAGCCAAGCCTTACTCGTGACCTTGTGTTTTGTATATATCATCCGGTGCCTCTGTTCGTCCCCACCCACACCCTTCCGCCCTTCCGCCCATCCGTCCTTCTGCTCTTCCACCCTTCCACCCTCCACAACCCCCTCCTCGCCCTTTCTCTCTCCAGACAACCCCTTATCAACACCACTGCAATACCTCTTTTCACCCCCTGACTGGTAAATTCAATGCTTCCCTCTGCAACCCATCTAACCCCCCATCTCTCTCATTTCCCTTTCTCCCCCAATCTCCGGAATTTCCCCTCTGAGAAATTCCCCTGTCCCTTCACCCCCATCGACTCTTCCCCCTCATCATTGCCAACCAGTTGTTCAGTCTGTGACGTAACTCGTGGTATCACACAACCTGTCGACAAATTCTCTCTCTCTCTCTCTCTCCCTCTTTTCTCATCCAATCTACTCACTCTCCTTCTAACCATCAGCATTGCACTCGTTGCAATGCACACATGCACTCCTTCTCCCTCTCGATCCTGTCGAAATGGCATCCGGTTGTTCAGTCTCACCATCCACGGGGTGTATAGTTCCTCGTATTTAGCAACACTATCGCCGAATGACTACTCTCCTCCTTTGATATCCATTCGTCTCTCTCATTGGTCCGAATGGAATGCCGGGGAATCCCATGCGTCCGAGACCTTTACCTATACATACCCAATTTCAACGTCTAGACGACGAGCTCGGCACACTCACGTCTCTTTCTATCTTACTCGTTACACCACGCCCCTCTCATTCCCTCCCACTCACTGCTCCAGATATTATTGGGTCATTGTCCTACCGCTTTGTTTACATTTCACTGTCTCATTGAGGTAGGTTTGTTGTGGTGGTATTAATAGAAATTCTTGAGATTCACCGTGTAGTTTTTATTTTTTAAATAATCCTTCGCTACAGTTATTACGTCACTCCGATAATTACAATCATTATTATTTTCTAATCATTTTTTTTTTTCTTTTTGTTAACGCCAAATGGACAACCGCCGTGACACCCCATCATCAGTTTTTATTCTTATCGTAACGCAAAGTACGTGGGTTCTAATTGATTGGCTTATTTTGTTCGTTCAACGTAATTAATATCGTCGTTAATCATTGCATTCTCACTCATTATGCTGTATATTTTTTTGTTTATATCATGTTTATTCATAGGTACACGCCCGTAATCAGCGCACTATACGATACTACGAGCGGATGCTATTACGGAGATTTTTCGTCATTGATTCACACGAATTTCATTCACTCATTTTTCTCGTCGTTACGCTCTTTACAATTAATATCTTCTTGCTCTTATTACTTACGTTCGAACAACCAGTAATAATAATACTCGTTAAATAACTAATGAAAATGATAAATAAACTAGTGTTGTTAATGAATCGGTAGTTCTTGCATCTTGCTTATTTTCCGTTTTCCTCATAACTGCATTTTAAGGCCATAAGTGAAATATCTAAATTTATAGTATCCAGCGCTAGGATAATGTTTTGTGGTTTTTTTTTTTAAATCTTTACCTTTATATATATATAAATTGTTCCAGGATCCTAATACGAGGTACAATATGAGAAGTCTTTTTCTTTATTTATATATAATATATTTATTCATTTATTTTGTTTTATACTCATTCACTCTATTCCATCAGTTTGCAAATCGGTAAAACTTTCCCTTAAACCTTAAACATTTGTCATTTCCTCCTCAATGTCTTCTCCTTCGGCATTTTCCCCGTAAGCACATAAATTTAGTTGTGTATATATCACGTATCACGTTTATTTATGCATATTCAACCCAGGGGGATGTTGTCAGGCAAGTCGTTCCGTGGCAGTGCTCCGCACATTTTTATGTTTTTTTTTCTTTATTATTACTCTATATTTTTTCATTCTCCTAATCGCTACTTTAACGTTTATAAAAGCCTCCGCGCCCTGAAACGATCCCATAACCACCACTGGTTTTTTTTTTTTTTCATTTTCCCTGTTTTTCACCTGCATGAGATATCGTGCATTGCCAACGTCTATCTTCATTAATAATGATGGCATTATGCCATTCTGGTAGTTAATTTAAATCTTGATTTTTTTATTTTTTTTTATTATCATGATGAAAGAGTGAAGCTTTTGCAAATTGTGTGTTTTTGTAATCAGTGCTCTGGTAATGGCAGAAGAAAGAAAAAGGGGAGAAATTTGAGGGATGACAGGAGAAAAAGAGTATAAAGCTCGCCTTTCGACGTTGCTGCGCCAATCAATAGCGGAAATAAACGACGTTTCCCATCCACTTTCATAACTTCCGTCTGAGTGAAGTTTTGATGATAAGAGCAAAAGAAATGAAGTAATAATTGTTGAAGACCTGGTGGATCGATGCCATTGATTCTCGGAGGCATATGTACACCACTGGGTGGTGAGGGGGGGACTTATGTATGTATTCAATGCCCCATTCGGCAATTTCTCTCGATCGAAATGTTAATCATTGTGGAATGTACAGTTCTCCTCGAGTTGATAAGGAAAATACTACTCTGTCCGAGGGATTCCACTGATTTGAGAAATTTATGTGGATCCAAATACGAATAATTACAACGATTCAACATTGAACTTAATCGTCATGTTAATTCTATTGTGATTTAATTACTAAAATATCGTAAAAATTGTCCGTACGTGTTAACGAGAGTGGAGTTTTTGTCAAGTATTGAAAAATTGTGAATGTTTCTTTCTTTTTCTCTTTCAAGGGTTATTTAATGTCGTTAAATCGTGTCCAGAGGAAAATGGGACTTTTATCCGAAATAGTATGACCTTACAAATCGATTACTCTTCATCTAAAACAATCTGTGTAGTTTACGTTTAGGTATTATTACGTGTGTAATAAAAAAAAAGTCGCATGATCGTTAATGGCGAAGCATTACTTATTTATTTTTCGTCTGTTCAAAGGAGAGAAAGGAATAATAATTGTTCAATCACACGTCATCTGCACAAAAAAAAATCATACATGCGTTATTTATAGACTCGGAAACACATTCCTACAATTCTTATTCTCTTTTTTTTTTAATTTCTTTTCATTTCAGTTATGTACTTTTTTTCGGTTTTATACCTCTTGTATTTTTCACTCTTTCTCATTCAATTATTATGCAAAAATACTAGTTAAATCCCTGTACAGAAAAATCTCGACACTGTCGGCAATGTGTGTATGTCGGTGTGTGTATTTGTAAATGGATTTGTGTACTGATTTCATTATTTTTTTCTCATCATTTCACATCAAGCTTCGATGGACCTTTTTACTAATTTGTTAACTCTCTCGTAATTAATTGTTTTCCATTCGTTTTCTAATTTTTTACTTACAAGGTATTTGGTTTAACTCCATGCATAAGGACATGTAGTTTCATTTTTTTTTTCTTTCATTTATTGGTTTTTACTTCATCGTGTATGGTATATAAATTATGGTAATGATTTCGGTATTACAATTATAATTATTATTAATCATTAATATTATTATTTTATCATCGTAATCAGCTTACCGCCGTCGTGCCTGGTCACGGGTTGGTGCATTATTATTATTATTATTATTTCCATTCAACTGCTAGTAATTTTCATCATTTTTTATCCGGTTACGTTTTTTTTTGTCACTACGATCACTTCCTCACTCGATTTCTATTCTTCACGTTCGAAGTTAAAGAAATAAAAATGATAAAGTCAATGCTCTCAAATAAATCGTCTATCAACCAGTATCCCTCAAGACTCAATTACTCCATAATAAATTTATCCTTGAAATCTCGACTGAACTTGAGTAAATTTCAAAAATGTCCACTAAATGCGTGAAAATAAAATTCAATACAGAAATTTACCTACACAATTTCATTACTCCAACTTCACACCTGATTAAAAAGAAAAAAACATTGATTAATAGTAAAATAAAATCGGGTTGAGGACGCAGAAACGAAATCCCATTCAATTATTCTCTCGATAAAATGGACATGAGGAAAATTAACCGAGTACAATAAAATATAACTAAAGATCATTGTATAATTTCCGCAACTCTGAGGGACATTGGTGATAAAAAAAAAAAGAGCGAGATTTGATAATAAGCAAATGATGACAAATAATTCATTTTGCTTGATTTTTTTGTTGCTTTGAGTGAATTAAAAATACGAATTAGAAGCGTCTTGCCGTGATAGGTGTCATATTAGCGGCCGACACGAAGCTATGGACAGGATGTTTAATAGTATTATGGCCCTGGGGTCACTTCTTAGTTTTCTTGGCTGGTGGCTCCTGTACGTCCTGCGAGTCCTCCGTATCATCACTGTCAGTCGGTCTTGGTGTATTGCTGCAGTCCTCATTCTCATTTGTTGCAATTGAATCATTAGTATCTTCACTGGCCACAGCTGCTGTTATTGGAGTTGGTGGTTTATCAAGTGAATCCTCAGTGAATGATGTTGTAGTGCTGTTCTCATCAATTGCTGCTGGATTTATTGTTGTTGGTTCCTTGCCATTGACAACAGCTACCTCTGGATTACTGTCGTCCGATGGCTCCGTTGCTTCACCATTGCTCGATGGATGAGTATTACCATTTTCTGTTGCCCCTGGAATTCCTTCCAACAATTCTGGTTTAAGTTCTGAGGCAACATAGTGAGTCCATAGGGCCAATTCAACTCTGTGAGGACTCCAGGATTTTCCATTCGTCGCTGCAACAAAAAAATAAAAAAAAAACAAACATTAACCAACCAGTACTGCACCGGCCAAGAATGATTGATTGGTGAAATAATTACTCCTTAGAAAATTTCTCTTGCCCTCTGTGCATTCATTTTCCAAGAGTTAATTTTCTTTCTCAATTCGAAAATTACGTGAGTTAAAGAGAGCTACACTTGTTTAATCTTCGATTTAGTAATTGATGAAAAATAACAAGTGAAATAGTAATGAAGCAATTACACTCACTCTGTTTGTTGAGCCTCTCGACTGTGGTCTGAATGTGTTGAACAAAATTGAGGTACTCCTTGGTCGTATAGTCAATTCCCTCGATCTCTGGTATTGCCATAAGACACTCATCAGCCATGAATGGTGCATTTTCAGGTGATGCCGCTGCCAATAGTGCCGATGCCATTGTTGTACCAACACCTTTGAGATTCGACAATGCTGTAATAGCTTGTTCCAAATTTGGTAATTTTTTGAATGCCTTCTTTGTTTCAGCCATTACAGCACGAGGTGTGTTTACTTTCACCAAGTAGTTCAATTGGGGATAGAATTTTCCACGCTGAAACGATTGAAATTCAAATGTCACGTCACTTTAACAATTCAATCCGATATATCCCAATGAAACTTACTGTTTGTTTCCATTTCATCGTCTGCACCAGCTCCTCGTGAATGAGATGGGCGTCCTTTCCACGTGACTTAATCGTCTTCGGCAATTCATTCTGGTACCTGTTGTAGAACACAAGAAAATTGTAAGATGCACGCCATCCATCAAGGTCACCGGGATCAAAGATTGAAGACTAAAGAGGCGTGATATACCGCGAGCAAAATAACACATTTGAACTCAATAACTCCCATGACGCAAGTACAACAAAACACGCCCTTCTGTTTATTTTTCTCTGAAAAGGGCGGGACAAAGATAAGAGAGTATCAACAAACTGGAAAATTCAATTGGCTCCAAATACTCGGACCGGGGGGTCAAAGGTACTTAGTGAAAATAACAGCGAGTGGAGAATAAAATGGGCGCAATTTTTAGATGAATAAAAATCATGATTCTGTATTGAAAACTGGGGGCAATATAAACTGAATTAGTGATAAAATAGATTTTTTTATGATGGTAGAATAGTTTGAGAACGGCTGACGCGGCGGTCGCGCTCGCGTCCATTTTGAGAGGCGCTCTCGGCATGCAACCGCGCTCCAACAAAAACAGCCTTGACACAATCGTGCGCGCCAAGCGCTTTTATAAAATCTGCTTGGCAGTGGTGATTTTTTCCAGCTAAAAAATAGCCCGAGAGTTGAAAAAATACGGTATAAACAAGCGAAGAAAAAAATAATAAAAAGAACGAAAAACACTTCCCCGAATCACGCGATAATCATGACCAAACAATTGGTCAATTTATTCCTTTTATTCATTAACTGGACGAATTAAATAAAAAATAGCTAGAGAAAAGTGGCACACAGGTGTGCAATAATTTGTCGGTGGGTGATTTTCGAAAAGTTCAGTCATGGCGTTCGCTCAGGCAGACATTTTTTGATGAGAGAAAAAATAAAAGTGGCTCTATTCATCTGTAACACGACAGACAGTATGAGCTAGCTCTGGCACTTTACCACACGACGAGCATTTCATAAATGTCAGGGTGTTACGGACGCGAGACAAGCGCCAGTTCTCCTCTGCTTCAGTCAATATCTATTCCAAGCCTACAACCTACCATCGGGTTATCGATCGATACAATTTTTATGTTCATCAGGTTTAAACAAAATTATCCATCATTGTTTATTTGGTTGAGTGGTAGACAATGTGTCATTATGAGCATTACTAGATTGTCGATGTGTTACATGAACCAGATTGAGTGATTTCAAGTTATTACCTGGATACCCGTGAGTGATAATCTTTCAAAATCAAACAATGAATTTCCCGATGATCGAATGAGGCATCATTGCGGTTGTTGGTTTGCTTTCAAAGTACTCCGCTCATTTATCATTCATAGAATTAATAATTTTATGCAATGCGGATAATTAACGAGGGTTATTAATGGGAGGGATTAATTTCTGGAAAGCATCAGTATTTGTCATTGCTTAAGTAATTCGATTCAATCGGTCTCTGTTGAAAAATTCGTGGCTAATCCAAGCACTTGTAATTATTTGCGCAATCTGAATGAAAATTTGACATGTGGACAACGGTGGACAGTTCATACTGCGGCATTTCTTTCATCTATGTCATCAAGACTTGTTCTGAAAAATATTAACGTCTTCACGCGAACATAATGACAAGATTACGCGTCAGACGAGATATTGAATCACCTCATCAGAGTAAATGATTCGAACGAGCCACTACTCAAAAGTTCAACATGAAAATTTGTAAATTATCATATTGAGCCGAACACGAAACCCCATTAAATGTCAAAATGTTAAAATTAAATAAACGATCGATATATTAACGGCAGTATGAGATTTTACTTTCCCCACAGTCCGGTACTCAATTCTTCAAACAGATGTGTTCAAACATCAAGGTCATGGGTTGACCTCGAAATCGTAAAAAAAAAAAATCTGTAAATAAATTCCCTCAGAAATCCAGAGACATGTCACAGAGTGGAGTAAAATAGAATGAGAATTGCCACGTGCCACGGGCCGTCGGCTTGCCACCCAAGTATCGTACCCTCTCATTCGTCCATCTCTTACACATGCGTAAAATACCTTATGAGAGATCCATCGACAATCAGAAGTAAGGTGCTAATAGAGAGGCTATTAAAGAGCTAACAAAGCGAGAAAAAAAAATATATATCGAGAGAAGGGGAAAAATAAACGTCAGCGAGGGGCAAACTAAGGAGATTGGAGCGTATGCGCTCAAACATAGGTTCACAGTATGCTACGTGCTGGCAAACAGTCAGGGCACACACACTTGTGGGGTTCATTGTACCCAGTTGCCAACGTGTTGGAAGATCCCATCACGAGTAAAACCGTCAGAGCTAAATCGTGTTTGTTACTTGGAGTTTTGTCGTGAATATTCCCGTCGCTACCGGACGTTACGATATAGCAGTCGTTGAGTTAATACTCAAGAAAAAAAGAAAAAGGAGCTAAAGAAAAAAATGAAGAATAAATAACGATCACGAAAGAAGATTTCTACTCACCAGTCGTCCAATTTGACAAGCTCCTCGGGTTTTTTCTTTTTCCTGTCAGCCTGTAATCTGAGGGCCTGTGGATACAATTTTAATACGTGTTCGAATTGACTTGTTGTACCCTCAGTGAAGAAAGTCGCAGTGTCTTTCACGGAAGCCATTGTGATAAACTATGATTCGTAGTATGCCCGTAAGATGGCGTATTGATGAGAAAAATCGCCGTTTTATATCTCACGATTATTTTTTTTCCAATTTTCTTCCAGCCGCTGTACTCCTGCAATCCTCAAAAATATCCAATTGTCAGTGTTGTTTGTCTTCCTTCCCCTCTCGATTCGATCTACGTCTGTCACTCAAGTTTTTTAATCAAGTCGTTCACTCCGCACGCGCGTCTCACACTGTCCGGCGCGAGATATTCTATTTCACCCTCTGTCTGGTTTGAATCCCCTAGGTTTAGCCGGCGGCGGCACAACGAGCGCGGACATACGAGGATTATCCACGGAGAGACAGCTCAGCGCTCTGTCCACCGCGCTCTCCCGTATTTTTATCCTCTCAAAATCAACCACCGAAAGAAAAAAAAAAAAAACCAAGAATATTGTACAATCCCCAAAAGCACACACAATAGAAAAAAAAAGTCAACAACTTCCTCGTGCTCCTTACGCCTAGTTAATTTGACGTAAAACTGTATTCCTCGACGACTGGTTTTCCACAAGTCCCGGACTCTCTTGTCTCGGTTATCCCACCAAAATCCCTTGTAACGACTGACTGGAGAAAGCACGACAAAAACCGTTAAATACCATTCGAATGATCTCCGAGGTCTCTTTCAATCTCAAAAACTTCTCAATTCTCCGTTTTGAGATATGGAATAAATATATTTTTCTGGCTTGTAACCGTGCACCACGAGCGATATAACGATGTGACTCGTGGGGCGGAATATACACCGACAGTAGTGGTTGCGAAATTTCATACGTTCGGTACGTCCTGTAGTGGGGAATCGCGCGATCGAGCTCTAACACCGCACACTCTCTTGGAAACCCCGTTCTCCTCTGGGGCCTCTACACCTCGATGGACTGTTTCACTTTGCTCTGTCTCTCTCCCTCTCCTCCACTGAATTTTCACCCTGTCCCTCTCCACCTAGGAGTGGGGATAAACACAAATTATTGGCCAATAGGGGGCAGCACTCTACAGCACCTTTATCCCGCCTCCTACGGTTTAACTGGTGTAACTCCTGCCTCTCTCTACCCCCACCGCCAACTCACCACACAACCGCTCTCACCTTATACATGCGCATATATATACAAATATATATACATATATATATGGCGTGGAAACCAACCAAAGCACCTCGTATATTATATACGAAAAATTTCGACCGTGTCACTCGCCGCGACTGCCACCGGTCTCGGCTCAACGATCCTTCCTCGCACGTTGTCTTCCAGGAGATTTCTTACTCGCTGTTCAATTAAAAAAAAATATGTCACACCATAAATTCAATCTTAAAGTCTCTCAAGATTTTCCCGGATTCGAAAAAAAAAAAATAAGAAGACAACGCCGAGACACAAAACTCCTTTCTCCAACCAACTCGCCGGGTTTGAGTTTGCTCCTCGTATTAGTCTCTTATTTTTGTCGGTTCAAATTTTACCCACTCCTCGATTTCTCCCAGATACCGAATTTATTTGAAATATGCAATAACCAGCACTGACACACCGTATTCTCGATTATCTCGTTTGAAATTTGATTTTTATAGTACTGTTATAACAGTGACACACGTATTTTCGATTGAATGCCGTCCTTGTCAGTGGATGTCACTCGTTTCATTTACCCGGTCTCCTCCAAAATAATATTAATCACAGAGACGACATTAAATTTCTTTTTAAAAAAATCAAAAAATCCGCAATTGTTTCCAAATAGTGAACAGACAGATTGACGCGACAACACAGTATACAGCCCTGCACCAAGTATTGGACAACGATATATCGTAGATATATAGTCAAAACGTTTGCAAAAAAAATAACCCGACGTGCTTTTTTACGTCTCTCTCTCTATCTCTCGGGTACGTACGATTATCTCTCTCAAATATATTCTCCCTCTCTCTCTCACCCACACATACACTCTCTCTCTCTCTCGCTCACCGAATCCTATTCAAAATGCCCCCGGCTTTGCGATTGCTCACCAACTTCACAAATTGTGATAGAGCAGCAGCAGTACAGTCTCCTCTGGAGCCCTCACCTCCTGCGCCTCACCTTCAAACCACGGGTATATCGGCAATCACACTCACACTCACTTAGTTATTTGGTTGGGAGCCTCTCTCTTGTTCGGTTTGGCTTGTGGGATATACGCCTTGACGAAAACGGGAACACAGAGTGTGTGTATCTCTCGCGCAGAGTCGATTTGTTCGTGCGTTTAGCTGTGAAGGTAGTGATACGGGCAACCGTCTGAGGGCACCCCATTCGCCCAACTTCTCTCTTACTCACCACCTCAACAACAAAATCTATCTCTCTCATTCCCTAGGTTTTTCAGCATGAAAAGCATTCCCAAGCGGCCTCACCACTCTGTGCTCGCGCAACCGTCCTTCCTCCGCTCCACGTCCCACACCAGCTGCCCCATCCCCATCATCCACCCGTCTCTACCTCCTGCCCACTGCTATTTCACTCATCAGAGAGGTAAACTCCATTGGATTTAGCGCCCTTATTCAGGGGCCCCTGATGGTACATATATATTTTTTTTTTCTTCACCCGTGTTCCCACAGGCCCCTGAATGGCCCACCCTTGAAATATACAACCGGGACTGGATTGTCACGGGTTTCAAATGAATTCAACCGGAAGAATGGAAATATTCAAAAGCAACCAACTCCTCTTGGACTCTTCCAACTCCCCATTGGAAGAGGAAACGGGTTAGTTGTTGTGTGCGTGCGTATAGCATCTCCTGGTGCCTGGATAACACAGGCGGACTGGAAATCGATGCTAAGCCTGGGAGGCACGCCAGTGCCGTACCCAAGTCTCTCTGGTATATCAGCCCCCGAGACTATTCTCCCCTTCTCCACCCCGCCCCACTGTCTCGATGATATTTTCTATCTGCCTTCATCATCGGCCTGAGAAATACGAAGGTTCTCTTGCCCACTGCTAATGTATTTGGAATTTGTGTGCGCAGGCGCTCGGTATACAACTCGAGACACAATCATTGTACAAGGACTCCGGGGTTCTTTCTGCACGAACCACACACACACATCCACATAAATCCCCATGTACACTGTATCAGGGTACACGTGAAGTGGATTTGAGGCTTGTATAACCTCATTCGCACACAGCCAAGCCATATCAAGGGAGAATTGGTAAGAGAGAGAGAGAGAGATAGAAAGAGAGTGAGTGAGAGAGTGATGAATATCCCGACATGGGTTAGAATACATATTGCCTGGGAATCGTATTCGCATCCGCAGCCCAAATGCACCGCTAAACTAAACGTATTTGTGCCAAATGCACGCATACAGTGTAGATTTGGTGTATTCAGTAGGAGCAGTACATGGTAGCCAGAGGCATGGGAGCCAGAGTCCCTTTGTGTGTGCACTAGGGTGTCGTCTGGTAGCGACGGGGCGCCTCGACGCCGTCCAGCGCCCACTGGCTTTTTGCAGACACGTGTGTTATATACTTAATGCGAGAGACCAATGTACATGTACATGATGGCCATGTCAAATGAACCAATGAGAGAGACAGTGATCGCGATAGTGCGCGCGCATGGATTGCGTTATATATAGGTTTTAACGAGTGTGCGAGTAGTCGCCAGTTGTCCGTGGAACGTTGGTGGTGGTTGGTTACGTGCCTGCCCTCGTTATATCTCTCCTTCGACGCCAGTCGCTTTTATCCCCACCTCAATCCTTACCCATTGCTGACGCGGGTTTATCTCTCTCTCTCTCTCTCTCTCTCAGCACCAACTTTCCTCTATCCTTTCCCCTCTCTCCTCGTTTACCTTCCCCATTTATACCTATCTCTCCATCTCACTTATACCTGTGTCAATTCTATCTCTGTCCTCATCACTGGGAACAGTGCCCCTGGCACACACTAACAACACTCGTCTCACTCTCTCGTTTCTCGGTTTTACCTCGTCTCACCTCGTCTCACCACTCAACGATGACGACGCTCACTCTCTCGTCGTTGAGGCCAGGCATACTGATGGAAAGTACCAAGCGAATCATGCATTACCACTGGCATTGTAAAGTTTTCAACTTCCAAGCGTTTGACGTTCCTGCCAATGGAAAAATTCTCATGATTTTACATTTTCAAGATATTTCCCATTTATCCTGCCTCAACTTATCCAGTACTTTGCAATGCTTATTTCATATTAATAACGAGGGAACGAATTCTCGTACGATCAATAAAATAGCACGTATTTCGTTCTACTAGGAATTTATAGATTTCCTAATAAATACAGGTATTCCAAAAATGTCAGGTACTCATTCCCCGAAGAACCATAAAACTGTCCCTTTTTCCCCACCCGGAGCCATTGTAGGTAGACAGTACGGATTATCATTGCTTGAATAATGCATGGACTGATCCCCCGGAAATATGCGTGAATTGAATATTTGTAATTGAAATATTGATTTAATAGATATATCCTGTGGGTATTATTTGCATTGGCGTTGGTGAATTGTCTCTGTGGGGCTCGTTGGATATTTCATGGTGGAAAAAAAAAAATAATATTGCCGAGAGGTTGGATTTTTTTCAAGTAGAGGCCTGGTGGAAGTTGAACTCTCGAGCGAGGAAGGGGCCGTGGGGACGTGGGGTTTTCCAGTCTGTTTGCCCGCCTACCGGGCGGCCGCTGCCATAAGCCCGCAGCATGGCCGTCGACGCACCGTTATATTCCATGGAACATCAGCGGAGAGAGAAGCCCTCGTAGAAGGCCCCCCTATACAAAGCAACCAAGTGAGCCCCTCGTTCCCGCAAGCGTTTGAAATTCAACCCCACACACTCGGCCTCATCCACAACAGGGTTGCCAAACCTCTACCATTTTTCTCTCCACATGGGCCTTTTACATTTTTATTTTTCTCTCAAACCTCACCAAATGGCGAAGATAAAATAACTACACACCAATATATTCATTGGCCTTTTGTACAGAACAGCCAGTATACTTGACGAGAGTGAGAACCTCTCTTTGTTGAGCTAACCTCAATTTCCGAGTGCAAACACACTCTCTCACGATTGCATTTCCAGTATATTTATTGTTCAATTGAATTTTGAACAAAGAGTATAACAGAAAGTTCAATCGTATGTAATCCTACTGCTCTTTTTGTTATTCATTTTTATTCATTTTTATCCATTTTTAATTATCGAATTTTACTTCAAGTGTCAGTGGTTATCTTTTTTTTTTCTTTCTTTATCCCCAGTTCTCGTATCTTCACTGAGCCATACCACGATAACGTGCGCCCAGTGACTCTCAATTCCACTGTACACGATAATGTGCACTTTCCGCTCGGCGTTTCACTCTGTTATTGAACTGTTGACTGGATTTTATTCCACGAAACTTTCATGAGTGCTGCTTACGTAGCGAGGAAAATATTTGTTTTTCAGGAAATCCCAGCGATTTCTAAATAAGTTCAATTGGCTATCGAGGCCGAGTGGAGAAACGTGTTTCTCCTTTTTTTTTTTCAGTTTTCATTGGGATTGGGGGAGCGCTTGAAAAACTTGATCAAGTTTATTTGCGCCTTGAATTTAGGTATGCAGCAGAATCACTATGTGTTTACCCACTCTCTTCTATCATCCGTACCCCTTCCTCATGCATGCCATGTGCTTTCATACCCCACTCGAAGAGAGTGTGACCCTATCGGTTACTAATTGCCAGCTGTCAGCAACAGGTCAATTTCAAATTCTCAACTTCAGTATAATCAACCCTCTCCACCTTTTCCACCCTCTCCACCCTTTCCACCCTCTCCACCCCCTCCTTCTTCAGACATAAATGTTTTATCATTTTTTTAGTCACCAGACTTATAATCATCACTGAGCTATTTTCTATTTTCATTAGTGAAAGGAGAGGAGAATTTCCAACATCATTATAACGACAGAAAAAGCCCCATCAAGTCGTAAGAAAACCCTCCAGAGGATGTGTTCATTTTTTTTTTTGTAATTGCCTTTCCCCACGCTACCATCAGCTGAGTACTTATACACTACGTGGAAAACTGAAAGAAGACGTTTACCTCTTATTTCTCAACTTGTTCGCTAGTAAAACGTCACTCTCCATACGACCACGTGTTTCTTTCACTTTTAACGAATAAGCGAAGTGAATACGAGGATAAGGGTAACGTTAAAATTGACAATTTCTTGCGTGCAGCACTGGCTCTGCCTTTCTCGAGTTTAATTCAACCTTCGGAATTATCATTGGTCAATCCTGGACTTGTGCTGTGGCCTTGATCAACCACTGTAAAAACCAATGGGGAATTAAATCACAACATCCCTTCCGACGGTTTAATCCAAATCATTAAATGGTGACCTGGTGATGATTTTATAATTGAATGCACTCTTGGAGGGTTTGCTACGTCATTCTGGTAATTCAACTCATTAGATTTCCTTACTCACTGCGCAAAATTCTCCCCCTCAGGTCTTACTGACGTATTCCCCCAGGAAGAAATTCTCGTAGCCGTCCTCGCAAGTTAAAGTCACAGTGGGATAACTTGGGAAAAGGTTTTTATCGTCTCTCTTATCCGGGGCCGTCACGTCGAGGCAGTCGTTCCACGTGGGGACAGCGTAGGGGATATTTCCCCGATGAAGATCGATATCGTACATTCGTCCCCATCCAAAATGCCTTCCAACGATGGGAGTATATCTCAGCTGGTAAAAAATATACTCGAGCAGATGAAAAACATGTCTCCACCGTGCAATGAATAACGAATGTAAATTAAATGTCACATCAACTTGTTCACATTCAGGGGACAGATGCAGAAACATAAACAGAAAAAATCAGGAGAAAAAAAGAATTACGTGATACACGTGTGATTTCAGGGTCAATCGAGTCGAGTGAGAGTAGGAGAACGAAGGATAGCGGGGATAAAAAAAAAAGGAAAT